GTATATATGGCTAATACAACATCATGCAGAAAGAGGGGACCTGCAAGGGACAAACAACTGGCTCTGGACAACAGCATTTGTAGCAATTTTTCCTCTCCTCCCATAGGCCTGACTTGAGGCAGGATGGAAGGGTAATTTTACTATATGCTATGGTTTAAGAGCTGCATTTAGATGGAGACCCTCCTTTAACCACTAGAAAATCTTAATTATAAGCTGAGCTCTCTTTTACTACACATGCAATGGCAGTCCCTAAAGTGCACTGAAGCAACACACAGCTATACGCCACTTCATAATAGATATGTTTTCACTGCATCTGAGCTTGCTGTAGAAAAGTTCTATTGTATAAAGTTTTGTGCTGCCAGTTTAGTGCTTTGGGATGGGGGAGAATATATAAATGTAAAGGAAATGTCCCACGGCAAGGTTCTTTGAGAAGATATGATATCTTTTATTAGACCAACTGAGTAATTGGAAAACAGTTCTTAGCAAGCTTTGGGGTGCAATCACCCTTTTTGCACCCGAAAGCTTGCTAAGAACTTTCTTACAACTACTCAGTTGGTCTAATAAAAGATATCACATCTTCTCAAAGAACCTTGCCTGCGTATGTCCTTAGACCAGGAGTAGGCAATTATTTTGGGCGGAGGGCCGCTTACTGAGTTTTGGCAAGCCATCAAGGGCCGCACAATAGGCAGCCAGGGGCAGATAGATATTAATTTTCTAAATTTTTTAGGGGCTCCACAGGCCGGATATAATGGCCTGGCAGGCCGCATCTAGCTCCCAGGCTGCATTTTGCCCACCCCTGCCTTAGACCAACACAGCTACAACCAAATAACAAAGGAAATGTCCCAATAATTTATAAGACAACACCACTTTCTAGTCCTCAAATATAATAAGCACATGAAAATTTGGAGAGAAAATATTCCATGTCAATTTTCAACATCTTCAAATTTCGCAACTGTGTTGCTCTGCAGGTCAATGTCCTAACCTGGGAGAGGGTGAAAGCCCCAACAGGGACCCAAAAAAAACCCAAGAGGAGGCTGAGAAAGCAGTATAAACTTGGATCTACAGTGCCACGTACCACAGAAGTGATGTGATCTTGTGTGCAAGAGCCACATGTCCGCTTCCTAACTCCTAATGCAACTATGATGTACCTGGCCACATGTGCATGTCATGTATACAATAGTGCAGGTGCATCAGGCAGTCGGCATTATGACAAACCTATGTTCTTTCTACTTCTTCCTCAGCAATCCACACACAAAGCCCATCAGCACAGGGGCACTGTAGATATGGGCACAACACGGTGGTTAAAAATTTTGGGAGCGGCACGCTCTTAAATCCTGAAGTAGGACTTTATTAGAAGGGAAAGCAACATTACTCTTCAAGTGAATCACCCTAACCACCTCCAGCTTCACAGCAGGGTGTCTGACTGAACGTCTCCACATCTGAACATCTACAGCTAAAGAAACCGTTGACCTTGGTTTTTGCCCTTGCCCTTGTTTGTTTCATTGTCTCACACTGACACTGTGCAACATAAAATCTTTAAGAAAAGGAAGCTGAGATCTCTCAGTAACTACATCTTAAAACAGTTAGGGTTTTATGAAAAACGCTCATGATCAAAATCACAAAACTTTTACCTGTAGCAATATTACACAAAATATTCAATGACTGGGAACTACTCATCTAGATACTACGTTCACTAAGAATAAAACAAAATAAAAACATTAGCAATATATTAAAAAAATACAAAAAAAAAAAATAATTCAAGGAATCAGTCTATATGAAAGGCTAGAATCAACTTTCTCCAAACTGGTTAAGAGTCAGTTCTGTTACATTTAAAAAATGATCCTGACCACAGAGCCAGGCAAGTACACCACTCAGACTTCTGTGACCTCCACCAGGGTGTTCGCATTGCATTAAAAGCACCAATGACAGACCTGCGTGGGGGGGTTCTCACCTTTAATACAACAGTCCTATATTGATCTGATCTGACAAGCGAGAACCGTGCATAACAAGACTTCCAAAACTTGCTGGTCTCCTTTCAACTAGAACAGAGATGCTCAACCTGTGGCACTGATGCCATAAATGACAGGGGAAGGCTCCGTGTGTGGCATGTGACAGACTGGGGATGAGATGGACAGCACAGTGGCAGATGGGACAGGAAGCAGAAAGGAGAGCATCAGATCAGGTAGCGAGCCCTGGGCAGGAGGCAGACAGCAGAGCAGCAGCTTATCAGGGAACATAAGGCAGAAAGCAGAGAAGTAGACTAGGCAGGGAAAGGGAATGGAGTAGCACTCACCCTGCATACACCCTCCCCTCATTTGTATTTCTCACTAGATTAGAGTAACCGCATCTGTTCTAGTGTAACGATCTTGCCATCAGGAAAGCAAATTTTCCAAATTCTTAACCTTCTGTTTTATACCTGCCATGAAAATAAAACAAACATAACCTTTTTGATGGGCACAGCCTGGCTATAAGAGAGGGTCACATGGCATGACAATCTTCACCAAAAAAAATTGCAGACAGTAATTGATGCTTTCTATCTGACCATGAATTGGCAAGAAATATCAATTGTCAAAATATACAGCTTACATCAGAGGTTACTACGAAAGGTATACTTTTCCACATCCTCCTGTCCTGTGGACTCTGTGCTAGCAGTTAAGTAAAATTTGCTAATGCCCTGGTCCCTAAAGTGCTATATGCGAGTCAATGCTTCAAAAAGTCAATGTGTCAGTATATGTCCAGCATGCAGAGGACACCACCAAAGATAACAGAACTTTGTCATGGTGAGAACTAATGCTCTAATTCAAGAGTAGCCAAACTTTATGCCTGGCATGCCACAAAGTTAAGCCTCAACCCTTCCTGAGTGCCACTCAATGGACGAGTCAGCGCGTGAAGAAATCCCTGCACCATTAGGATGTAATATCCTCTCTCTGATGGGCTCCGTTTGTTTTTAAAGCAATGGAGTCCTCCCATTTCCCCTGCTGCTACTATTTTCTTCTAAAAGTGAACAACAAACAAACAATCCAACACATGCAGAGAAACCACAGGATTTTTATGACAATGCTTCTGTAACTCATTATCTTCTGCATTCAGAGCTTAAATTTAAAGTAGTTCAGCACTGGTTAAGAACAAGTGTGGGCATTTTGCCCCGAAATAAACCATTCCTTTATTTTCCATCTCCTAGCAAGTTCCATGTCTCAAATTAATCATAGAATAATAGAAAATAAGGGCTGGAAGGGACCTCAGGAGGTCATCTAATCCAACCCCCTGCTCAAAGCAGGACCATCCCCAATTATATCATCCCAGCCAAAGCTTTGTCTAGCTGGGTCTTGAAAACCTCCAAGGATGGAGCTTCCACCACCTCTCTGGGTAACCTGGTCCAGTGTTTTACTACCTTCCTAGTGAGAAAGTTTTTTCCTAATATCTAACCTAAACTTCCCTTGCTGCAACTCGAGACCATTGGTTTTTCTTGTCATCTGCCACTGCTGAGAACAGTCCAGCTCCGTCCTCTTTCAAACCCCAGTTCAGGTAGTTGAAGGCTACTAATAAATCCCTTCACAGTCTTCTCTTCTCAAGATTAAATAAGCCCAGTTCCCTCAGCCTCTCCTCCTAAGCCACGTGCCCCAGCCCCCTAACCATTTGCATTGTCATAAAAACACTGCATTCAAAGTACATGAACTATTAAATATTCTACCCCGTCCTAGTAGTGGGATTTAGAAAGCTTGACCTTTACATCAAATCCTGTTGACTGACTTCCAAAAGTGATAGGAGCACTTTTTTAAACCACTCATAAAAGGAAAGCTTAAGTGTCCTTCAAGTCTTACAAGAAAGGCAGCAACTAATATTCTGGGCAGAGGGCCAGCATGCACAGCCTTGCCTGTAAAACAGGCAACAGAAAAGGAAGCAAGAATCTGGATTGCTCCATTGCTGGTTGCATAAAGGTTATGTGCATGTTCCACAAAGGGAAAAGCACTGACAAGAGTATTCCGAAATATTGCTTTTCATTTAGATTTGGCATTTGCAGCTGGAGCAGTGTACACAGGACTGCTCTACCATGGCAAGGTAGTGGGAGCCAGAAATTCATCCACTCTAATACTGGTATTGCCTATATGCCTAGAGTTCACAACACTTGAACTCTGTTGTCATAGCATGAATCGGGAACGACACAAATGTAGTTCAGCTTGGGGTGATAAACTGTTAGAACCCAAACGTGAACCATGCACCTTAGCCAACATAAAATAAAAGTTTTAAATATAGTTTGGCCAGTATTGTACCAAACAATGTAAGAGCTCTGTTTGACAACAATCAAATTTAACAAGTACTATTAAGCTCTTGGTTTTCAATTAATAATTGCAGCCTTACACCATTGAATCTTTCTGCTTCAGTTTTCCTCTCTCTCTCATAAAACTATCGGGGGAATAATCTTGACGAAACACTGAAGTTTCCCATCTCCATCTATTGGCTAATTCTGAAAGCATGCTTCTGATCATGTCATCTAACTGCTAAAGGGAACAAGTACTAGTGTGGAGCAGGGACAAATGTCTTTTTTTTGAACTGTGAGTTGCTAGCACAGTAATAAACTTGCAATATCAGCAAGTACTATTAATGAGAGAAATATCAATGAAGGAGATGACCAAAGACAGAATAAAAGGTGCACATGAAGCTGGAACTAAGAGAGACTTTGAAATTTAAAATCTATATTTAAAAAATATAATTTAAAAGATCTATATTTAAAAAATATTTTGAAGGCAGCCAGTATTAAGATCTTATCTAATTACTAAAGCCCCATCCTCTACAAATACTTCGGAATGTGCTTATACTTGGCTCAGCTAAATAGTCACGCTGAAGTCAACTGGATCACACAACGATAAAATTAAGCATCTGCTCAAGTGTTTGCAGGATTACAGTCTAAGAAGAATTTTTTGCTATCAATATGTTTTTCCATAGGTAAATCAAGTGTTCCTAATAGTCCACTCCAGTAGCGTTTAATTTAAAGCACTCACCACTTTTCTTTTCCTCTCTTTATAGTCAATGTTCATGTCCTTATGTTTCTCCAGAGCCGTCTCTAATTTATTCTTAAGATCAATGGCACACCTTAAACGATCATCACTTATTCCTGCTCGAGTGAACGACTACAAAACAAGAGATATATATTCTTATTATTTCCCCCAAATACCTCCTCGACAACAAAGAAATTCCTGGTTTTACTCCATTTTAACACGGCATGCAATAAAGCAGTTTGCTACAATGCTAAGTAACCACTAGCAAGTCTAATTATTTAACTACGCTTCTTCAAAATTTTTCACCCACAGAAGTAGGTGTTAATAGCAGTTAGAGAGATACTATATTTAATTCCTTTCAATGTATAAAATTCCCTGCATGAAGCTCTTAAGCAAAGAATGTAGACCGGTGATTCCCAAAGGTAGTGTGCTGTGAAAAATGGGCTGTTGTATCTACGGCAGCCCCACACACATCAAGGTCAAAGTCCTGAGTGGACCAGAACTGCATGTAGGATTGGACCATGGACCAGACCTGGCCTGCGCACCAGTGAGTCAAGTGGGCTGCCAGTTTTAATCTGAAAAAAAACAAAAACAAAAGTGTGCCCCAGGTATCAAAATTTTGGGAAACACTACTGTAGACTAAGGGCACTTTTACACATGCTCTGGGGACGAGAGGGGCAGCTGTTTAATTAGAGGTGCTCCAAGAACTAATTAAAGTGCCGCATATCAGCATCCCCGTGCTGAAAAATGGCAGCAAGAGTGCCTGGACTAAGATTTAGACAGATAATGCGTCCCCCGCCATCATTTTTAAGTGCAGGAACACTGATACATGAGACACAGGAGGCAGCTGGAGTGCAGCAATTGCCCATACTCCAATTGAGTCTGCTCCTATGTGCTGGAATTCCAGCGCACCGGAGCAGCCTCCGCTCTCATGTATAGGAGTCCATAGGCCCTAAATTACTTAGTGATGATTTGGTATAGTATTTGCTTGCATTCACTTGAGCAAAGTTTGGGTAAGATAAGAATAAGCAGAGAAGAGGGTCATGCCAGAGAACATCATAAGGTGTGAACTATTTTTTAGACAATTTAAAATGGATTGGAATAAAATCTAGGCTAAAGGTTGTGCTAACATTTCTTAGAATTCATTTAGTGGTTTCACGTTAAACAAGGCTAACTTTAGACATGATATACTTTAGACTAGGAATAGGCATTAATTAGAGTAACACTTATTAGGAACACACACACATATATTTTGTTTAAAGTAAGCTTTCTGCTATTTTAGCCAAGCAGAACTCTGGGTTCATTCAGAACCTTTGCTCTTCAGCCTTGAACCAAGGTTATTCAGCAAGAACCAATCTGCATTTAAGTTAAGAGCTCCTTTATAATTTAATTTCAAACCAAAGTGAGAATCCTTTTCCCTAATTTGCTTTCACGCGTTAATAAGATAGTTATGCATTTGGATACATGTGCAATTTATACACTTTACACATTTGCTTGATATCCATTACCTGTGCTGTTTGGTCACTTATATCTTATCTGTGATTCATTATTCTATTTTGCCACTAGTATTTATCTACATTTATGCTTTTGGGTATTTAATTCTGGTGGGGCTGGTTCTTTAAACCTTTATTGGTTCTCAGAATAACAGCTGAGGGCCAACAAGACTACAGATTATGATGAATTAAGTAATGAGTTTCTCAAGTAGACTTGTCTGACAAAGACAAACTGATTTTTCTTTAAACCTACCACACAAGTCTTATTTAAACTGCGCTCTTTAAAAAAAAAAAAAAGTTTGCTGTATGTACTGTATGATGTGCTGGATAACATAACAGATACTGAATGATGATTCACTTGAACATAAATTTTGCAAATACTGGTTGCCATCTCTCATCTAAGTGTTTAATAAGCCATCTATTACACCTCCCCCCCCCCCAACACTTTAGATCTAGACAAACAAGCAAATTATGTTAGCAGCTCCACAGTAACTGTCCACACATCCATACTTATCTCACAGCAAGTGAGAGTTTAAATAAGGCAGTTCACTCCCTGAGGAATCGGGGCTAAGTTACCACGGCTTAACTTTCACCTGCTGCTACGTTGAAGTGAGCACTTGGACAGCTACATAACATCATGTGCTGTGCAGTAACTACATTAACTTACTGTAGCTTGTTTTCCCATTCCCCTATACTGGTAGGTCCTCCCCCTCCCCCCCTTTCATTTTCTTTCTTCACTTATTTACATTTACTATCTCCTAACAACTTTTGCTCAGTTTTAGTTTGTGTCACATACACATAGACCAAATATTTAATACAGCTGGACACCAAAACTATTTAATTTGTATATTCAGAAAATGACTCTGGCAAAACCACACCCAATCACTTTCCAGGGGTGGTCTTGGAGAGGTCTCCTTAATTACGGGGTTAACATTTTCTGGAAGACAAAAGGTGGAAAGCATGCAAAAGAGGGGAAAGCTTTTATCATTTCTCTTGGAAGAAATCTGTGTTTTAAGCTCACCTGAATCCACAACTGCACGGAGGGCAAGAATTTATTTCCAATAAGTTTGTGAGCATCCAGGATACTGTTTATTATGGAAGTATTGTCTTCATTCTCATGAATTTTTATATCTGTTGAAAACAGAGGGAAAAAAGGATTGAAGCATGATATTTACAGCATCCTCACTAAAATAAGTAAGTTGGAAGCAGCAGAATGTGAAACTTCCTAACACAGTCAATGTCTTCAGAGATGGTTTTGTGAATCAGAATGTTACATACTTCAGCATTAGCACTAAAAATGCTTAACCTACAGACTAAAGGAAAAGTTAAAACATAATGCTTTCACTGCGCTGGATAACCCTTAAAAAAGGGCTTCTAAGGAAGCACCACTCAGTCGGTCATAAGAACCGAGAACAATTGTATCGTTATTTGTATTGCATTATCGTCTAGATCGGGGTACTCAACCCCTGTGCCATGGTCCAAATCCAGCCCATGAAGCCAGGGCAGCTGACCTATGGGGCTGCCCATGGGTCAGGAAATTTGACAATGGTAGAAAAATGGCAATTAATACCGCTACCCCTCCCCAGCTGCCAAATACCCAAGCTCTACATGACTAGTTGGTGCTGGACCACAGCCCCTCCATGACACAGCTGAGTCAGGGCTGGGCCATGCCCTGTCCCCTATGCAGCTGGTTGAGGCAGGCCATATCCACCGAATTGGGTCCACCAGTCAGATCCAGGCTACAGATGGGCCGAGCCCCAAACCTGGTCCGAGCCCCACACCTCCCCAGGCAGCAGTAGCATCTCCCATGGAGTGGAGTGGGGAGGAGAAGGCTGACAATGGGACCAGGCTGCTGGGACACAACCCCCTCAAGCTGCTTCACTGGCTGCAAGGGACTCTGCTGCAGGCTGGATCAGAGCGTCTCTTAACATATCCCACGCTGCTACTAGTTTTGCAAGAATATTACTATTGACTCTCAATCACTCCATGGTCCGCTTTTTCATACATTTTAAAATCTGTGCACTTGACTGTTCCCTCCTTCCTCCTTGTGTTTATTGGATCTGATATTCTTTTTCCCCAAATAAAGTAATCTGAACCCAATCCTTTTTTCTAGTGATTGCTACTCCATCCACCTAAGTGTTAGCTGCAAACATCATAGTGTGCTCAATCCCATCCTTCAAGTCATTGAGCTATGAAAAACAGCGAGAAGTTACTGCCTCTCTGGCCATTTGCCTGTGTAATTCCTCAAATATAATATACAATAAGACTGTTAGGCTTTTGAAAGAAATGACCACCCAAAAAATTATGAACTGTCCTGGCTTTATTACAAGTAATTTGACCTCTCATCATGAGATTAAGAAGATAGAATCTTAAAAATCCTCATCCCCAGCATCTCATTCACTTTTTAAATTAAGGTTAAGGAAGCTTACTGACAATTTAAAAAGGTGTTTCCTTCCTAAATAAAATGTGGGCATAAATAACATCACTGGCATGTGACTGTGAACAATAACTTTAAAGAAGTGAGCACTGAGAAAATAGGGAGGAAACAGAAATATTTACACATTACGGGACTGTAAGCTCTTCAAAGACCTCAAAAGTCATTTACTGTGCCACAGACCCAATCTTAACCTTCAATAGCTGATTATTAGAATTTGTAAGCTCATTCATGTAAAGCCACCTGCAAAGGCCAACTGAAATGCACACAATAAAGCATTAAACATCTTACCACTTCAGATACAAAGGTTCACAAATTCTTTTTCTCATACTGAAACAAGTACCTGTGGAGATTTCCAGGTCAAGGGTATATTTATGAGAGCCAAGCCCATGACTCCTAACAAATGTTTCATAGTCATCACCACCAGTGGCACCAGCTAATTCAACTTCTGAACATCCCTCTCCATCTGCTCCCCTCCGGTCACTTGTCTCTAGTTCTTCATTCATGTCTCCATTTTTATCAGCTTTTAAACATGGTAAAACTGAAGGAAGGTCCTTGCTGCAACAAGGTTGTTCATCATCTATATGCCTGAGAGAAGATGGTTGGCAGTCTGCTAGCTGCATGGATATGGAAGCAGGTTCTCCCTCATTAGCAGTCTTCTCTATGACAGGTTCTAACTCTGCGTCATTCACAGTGAAGTCAAACGGATCTGGCATCAAAAGCCGGAAACAATTCTCCATCTCTGTCAGAGTGTCTTGAATTTCTTTGGACATTTCTGTCAGGACATAACTGTTTTAGAAAATTGCTGTATGAAATATAAAATTCCAGCAGTTCAGGAATGGAAGAAACAGTTTCTCCCATGCCCCAGTATAAGGAGACATGCTTACAAATTAAAGATAGATGCCAAAGGGCTGATGCATATATCTGTACGTTGACAAGACATTCTCATACAGCCAGGCTTTCTTGCCTCCTCCCCTCCAAAATAACACAATATTCTCCAGAGGTATAAAACAGAATCAAGCTCTTCTTCCTTTTTCCCCATCCTCCCTAAAATCTCAAAGCATTTATCAAAGATAGCTTTTTAATTGCTTCATAAAATATGAAGTACAGCAGATGGATTGGCAAGGTTATTCTTAGAGATGTCGCTGAGTAATAAACTTATACTCCTGAAAAACTTACGCTGCTATGGTTAGTTATCTGAGAATTCATGAATATCAAGAAAAATGTGTTACAGCTGAAAATTACTTTACAAAATTGCAGAGTCAGTTTAATATTCTGCACCCAGACATGAATGTTCACAGTGAATCCAATGCTCCAAAGCTGTACTGTAAATGTCTGCCTAGCAGCTTCACTCCCACATTTTCAGCCTCATGTTTCAGCTTCATTTGCTGTTGAACCCTTTTGAAGGCATCCTTCCAAAAGACACAGATATTCAAAGAGCAGTCAGGCAACTTCAGGTGGACCTGTACTACGTTTAGGATTCCTGTGGTGACATGTGACAATGCCTTTTAAAACACATTGATTTTACATGCAATACCAGACTGAGAACCTGATTTAGAAAGGTTCTTAAATTATGTAAATTATGGCATATGACTCCAGCCATTGGCTTCACAGGACTCCCCACTCACTTAAAATTATACACTTCACTGAATCAGGAACTAAACCTGTTAGCTCCTCATTCTGCATCGACTTCTGGGACTACGATTTACTTTCTTACCCCCTATTACAGGGGTGGGCGAAATGGCTGATGCAGCCGGCAGCCAGACTTCATTTCCCAGCTGTCCCTGCCCACATGGCTGGGACTGGTCTCCATGGAGACCCCAGCCGCAGCTGCCTGTGAAAGCTCAAGGATTGTGTTGCCATGGAGACCAGCCCTAGCCATACTGGCAGGGCACATGGCAGAGCAGGGCATGGGGCTGCTCCGGAGCCACTAGGATCTTGCAATGGGGGCAGCTTGCTCCGGAGCCAAGGCAATCTGGAGCCTGCATGCTCCGGGCAGGGGTGCACATACAGGGGATGGCAGCTCTGCCCCTGCTCTAGATCAGGCTGTCACCACTGAAAGAAGCAGGGGCAGAGCTGCGATCCCCTGTATGCGCCCTGGCTCTGCCCTGGCTTCCCACATCGCAAGATCCCAGCAGCTCCAGTGCAGCCTCGTGCCCTGCTCTGCCATGCGCCCTGCCAGCATAGCTAGGGCTGGTTTCCACAGCAGCCCCATCCTTGAGCTGTCACACACAGCTGTGGCTGGGGTCTCCATGGAGACTGGCCCCAGCCATGCACAGGGGCAGCTGGGAAATGGAGTCCACTGCCGACCGGATCCAGCCTGTGGGCAGGACTTTGCCCATCCCTGCTCTATTAGGAATCATAAGATCAAATGCCTGCAGATGTACTAGTTTCCACATCTTCCTCTCCAGCCCACCACTATTTGGGTTTCTTGGATTCTGTAGTTTATATAGCATAGTTCCTTAACAAAGTTTAAAAAATAATTTTATAAAAAAATCTCACCTGCCATTTCTTCCTGAGCTCTTTTCGCCTTTTCTTTGTTAATGTTCTCCAGTCGTTTTTGCTTCTCTTCCTCCCTTCTCCTTTCAGCCAGAGTCCTGGCATTTACATCTTGAAAATCCACCTAAAGGGGAATTGAAGATGTATAATGCTCATTGTAAGAAATATATAGAAAATCCATTTCCCAAGATTCTTATCTGAAAAGAAAAATCCTCTAACATTACTAATCAGATAGAATCTCAAGAGTGTTTCCTTTTATCTCCCCTCCTCCTGGAATCAATAACTACTGTAACTCTGAATGAAATTTTCACTTCTAATAACTGATTGCTGAGAATCAGTGGCTTTCAGAAGGAAAAACAAGATCATAAACAGCAGAAACCCGAACATCTGCTTTTCTGTGTGGACAGCAAGAAAAGGAATACATGTACATTGCAGTTTTGGATGCCCTCATCACAGTGGAAAGGTCATGTAAGAACCTCATTGACAGACAATATCCCAAATTCATTCTAGGTTGATTTGTAACTCTCAAACCGTAGAGGGAAATCCCAATTTAGTACTTGCATGTGTGTGCGCATGTGCGCCATTTCTCAAATAACTTGGTAAATGAGCAAACCAGCAAAGGACAAAAACTATATACTCTGCAACATACAGCTCTGCTGTACTAAGTTTTGCATTTTACACTAAATTCCCTAGCTTCTTTTGGTCTAACAAACTTGTTTTATTCTTACTTTGTTTCTTAATTTTTAAAGCAGAAGGCATGATAAGCCATGAAGGAACACAGTGACTCAAAATACTACTATGATCTGATTAGTTTTAAAGTGTTTGCAGTGAATTTTGTCTAAAATTGATATGAAAATATTTAATATGTAAAAAGATTAAACTCATAAAAATGTAATTATTTAATAAAATATTTAGTTAAAATATAATAAAATATTTAACCGTTTTCCAAGAAGTTGCATTCTTTTCATTGACTAGTATAACAAGCACTTTGTAGAAGCCAATTTCTTATTTGTTTAAACCTTTCAATTTAGACCCTTCGGACGTGTTCAGACGAGCATGCACACGCTATTTATGATGCTGCAGATCCGCATGTGCTGCTGCAAACCACACACACCAAACATGCAGACAGTCACTGTGCTGCTAATTTGCAGCACAGTGGGGGGTTTTTTGACACTGGGAGCTCCCAGTGTAAAAAAAAAAATCCACACCAGAAAAAAGTGGGGCGGCACATGTGGCAGCAACATGTGCCACCTGAAACTGGAGCCCAGCCAGCCAGAGGCACATTTTGGCTGCCAGGCAGTCTCTGGACGCCTGGATCACTGCCGCTGAAGCCCCGGGAAGTTCCCCAAGAGCCCAGGTAAAGCTGTGGGTCCAGGCCAAGTGCTGGCCCCAGCCTCCCCTACTGCACCCGGGACAACTTGCTGCGTGCCAGAGCACATATGCCGGGGCTTTCCCTGAGAACAACTAGCAGCAGCACAAATGTGTGCTGCTGCTGCTAGTTGTCCACAAGGGATGCAAAATCCCATTCATGGAGACACGCTCTTTATGTTTAATTTTGCAAAGTCGCCAAATATTGTCAGCTAACTTCCATTAACTTTGTGCAAATTGAGGCTGAAAGTGCTAAGCAAGCTCATTCTTCAGGACTGTTACATGAAGGGAACTGGAGATCTCCCCAGGTGCTAGCTTTACTTTATGAACATCTCCGTGCATTTTTAATCTTATCATAATTGATATACAGTAAAAAAAAAAAAAAAAAAAAAAAAAAAAAAAAAAAAAATCCTTCAAAATAAATCAAAGATTCTCAGATTTGAATATTTTTATTACCTTTTTTCCCCGTGATTGCAAGGACAATAGTAGACCCAAGACGGGTTTGTACACAGATGTCAGTACCATACTGTGATCATTCTACAGGCAGGTAGCAAACAAGTCTCACCTTCTATTAGTCCAAAAACATCTCTGCTAGAACATGTACCTATACTTGGTTGGCCATGGATCCAAAGACCAATATGTCCATATTTTGTTATCCATTCACTTGCTTCTGTAAACTCAGTGTGCAGCCAATAGCTACTTACTCACCCCTCAGTTCATTATAACAGCTTCAGACCTGCTTAACTCCAGGGAGATGCTTAACTCCACTGAAGTCAAAGGGAGTTAGGTCTAAATTTCTGGGGTTTGTAAGTTTGTGCTAAAATGTTCTACTTTATCAGCACCTCAATTTTCCTGTGTATCAAACACCCCTTTATCTAGAAGAATGGAACATGGTTTAACTAATATTTGTTGACTTTTTAAAGCTAACTGGCTGTTATAAATACACCAGGAGGTAAACAGTATTCAAATTTTATGGAGAAATTAGCATACAGAGGGACTCCATCAGTTTGATATACAGTCAATGGGGAGAAAGGTGTACAGGTAGAAGGCAGTTTTATGAACTACTCCTGTCAATTTTTGTAGTTTTAAAAATCATTTTTCCTTTTTTCAAATACTTTCTTCCATGCATGATATTCCATACAGCAAGAGAAAAAAGACCAAACTACCCAAGGCAAAATCATGCGAAGTGATGCAAGACATGCTAAGTAGACACGAAAAAAAAACAAACCCAGAAAAATTCCCTCTGAACTTTCATTTATACTGTATCACTTGTGTAACAAGAGCAGGAGAAATTTTCATACAAGTAATGTTTTTGTTTGTACAGCAAGCCAGTGGCACCGCCGGAATTAGAACCCAGAACTTCCCAAGTCTTTGTCCCAAGCAGCTGTTTTGCAGCTCTTTCATTTCCTCTGCTCCCAAGTTTAAGGGCTATCAGGACCAATCAGACATTGTACTAAGGGGCACAGTGTATTCTGCTTACTGAGCATCTAGAAATGCACACTCAGTGGTGGTGTTCCCTAGTCAGGAAAGGCCCAATATATACTGTGCCCATCTTCTCCCTCAAGTACATTCCCAGGCTAGAGGATCATGTAAGACATTTGGGGCATCCCTCTAAGGCTACTTACAAGCCTGAAGTTTCCAGCTAGCCTTAGTGGTCTCTGGGCACAAGCCAGGCACGCTCAGGCCCATGCTGGTTAGCACACTGTGATAATAAATAAGTCTTAAGTGACATCTAGAAACTGAAGCTCATTCTGCCACACTCAAGTCTCTGAAAAACTGTTAATGTAAAGGGATAAAATGAAAGCATGTTACAGAAGTAGATGTCTTAAAGCAGTCTTCCAAGAAGTCAGGCAAGGTGGAATAGGATGACATTTGAGGTTTGCCACTCCGATGCCCAATTGATGGAATAGGATCTGAACCCTGTTCTCCCCCTTATGTGCAGTCTCATCCTTCAGCAGCTTTCAACACCTCCTGCACCAGCCTCACATCATTAGGTAGTGAAAAAAAAACATCAGAACGAAAATGGAACTATGTATCGCTGTTCACATGCTGGACTTGTGTCAGAGTGCATCAGATCTGGTTCAGATAATATGGGCAGACACTGAAGTCATTACTTTGCCCATTGGTATTGGGTTCTGCTATAAGAAGCTTTTGCTACTGGGGGTTATACTTGGATAGTTTTCAGGATTTGGTGTGAAGAGGCATAAACAGTTTAAGTGGTGGAGTTCCTCTTTAAATGCACCCCATGTGAAAAGCTGCCTCCTGCCTTGGAAAAATTACCAGTATAATTCATAAACCCAATGTCTTAAGAGTTGGTGCTCAGTTTGGTTTTCCTTATGCAGGTGATGCCTAAAATAGTGTTTGATAGGTGGCTGGGGAAGAGTTCTAACCGAGAGTCAAACCAAGGCCATTACACACGCTTTCACAATAAAATAAAATTCAATTTTTATTTTAATCTTTCCAATTGAACTGGTATAGAACAATGATTTAATCAAGCCTTTCAGGAGAATGAGCAAATACAGTTTACACTAATAACAATCCAAGAAGGACTTGAGATTCCTTTGTTATCAAAACATTTTTAAGGTCTTATTATTGAAGAGAGAAAAAAAGTAAGTGTTCTCTTCTGAAGAACTTACACGTTACACTTTAGTAAGGAGGATTATTGTGACAGGATAAACTGTCAGTATGTATACAGATATTCTCCCTAGCAAGAGTAGTGAGCCAGGTACCAGCACGTAATTTTACAGAGTACATATGCATTCATAATTTACTCAATACTGTTAAAGTTTCTGGTTGCAAAGGCTTGCCCATGAAAGAGGTCTAAAAAGCAGTTATTACATCTCTCTTACATGGAAGAGTCCACATTTTCTGCTGTGACCTTTGGTGGTTGCTGCCTTGCTAACAAGCACAGAGAACCACAACAGTTAGGAATTAGTTTGGAAGGGGAGGGGAATGCCACACCAACTGGCCTTTGAGACATTTAGGGAGTCTTAGCCCTTCATTCATATCCATCCTACCAGCACAACGACATAAGAGAAATTGCAGATTAAAATGTAAACTGGTAGGAGCCAAAATGAACATTCTTTTTTCCTCTCTGGGTATCTTAGGAGGTAGCCTCAGTGACTTGCTCAGGGTCACACAGGATAATCAGTAGTGGGATAGAGAAATGAATCTTGGTCTCCCAGATCTTGGGCTGACACTTTTACTGCCAGGCCACCTTTCTAACCCTTCTGAGTTCCTGGACTAGAACATGAGCAGATGGGGCTCCTCAAAAGCCAGAAGAGATGAACCTCTGAAAATATTTCAAGAGGCAATGACATTGCTTGGCTAGAGCAAGTGTAAAGGGGTACTAAAAAACAAAAAAAGTGAGTAGAAAGTAAGGTCCAACTAGCCCAGCATCTAGTCAATTTTCAGAAGTGATGGGCTCTGGATCAGATCCTAGGAAGCCTCCCTTCTAAAACACTGCCACTTTTAGAAGTGAAGACATGATCTTTTAAGTTAGAAAGACCTTTAGAACCGATTACATCAACATATCAATTGAATTACACCCAGAAACAGCATGGAAGCCAATACAGAGCATAGATAATGCACAATCCCTGTGAGACATCTTGCAAAAACTAAGAGATCTGCACATTTAGTTAACCACAGTTGAGTTGTTCCGGGTATAGCCTCCTATAGTAGGGCATGTTATGATAATCCAGGAACAAGGTAACAGAAATCGCGCTCTCGCACACTGGTCTGCCTTCTACCGCTTTTAATCCGTCATAACTAAGCAGCTGGTGAGCCCCTGTTACTGAAGCCAGTAAGTGTCCAAAGTGACCTATGCCAATTCTTCTGGTTACTTCTCCAAGTTTGACAATTATCTAAGTAATATTCAAATAGAGGGTCAAGCAGCCAGCCCCATATCATTTACCATAGAAGTTATCATATCAGACTACATAAGTACTCCATCTCATCTGGTATTATGTCAGACCAATAGTGACCAAGTACAGTTGTTTCAGAGAATGCTACAAGAAACTTTGCAGTAGACAAATCATGTGATTCAGTCACTAGAAAGTTTCCTACTAACTATCCATAGTTAGAGGGAAGTAACTTACTTTTAGAGAAAAGGGTCTGTGCACATGGATTAGTTTGTAGCATATTGTACTTTGTGTGGATGTTAAATTAGTGACAAAGAGACTACAGGACAGTTGTCAATTAAGCAAAAACACAAATTACTGTGCATTTGCCACATTTTAGTTCCATTAAATGCAAGAGTCCTAGTAAGACAAGGTTCCTTGGGTGAATTTGGTATCTTTTATTAGACCAACCCAAATAGTTGGAGAATAGTTATTAAGCAAGCTTCTGGGTTCAAAAACCCTTTGTCAGGCTAAAGAAGTTTCAGCAGCTGGTGTGTGCTCTTCCTGGATGGAATGAAAAGTAAAGAAACCAGGGGAGTCAGTTGCCTAGTAAGGCATCTAAGTTGTAGCCATATTGGTACCGAGGCAAAAAGAGTCAAAACTCGTGAAAGAGGTGGCATCGTTTATTACACCAACTAGGTATTTGCAAACAAGTTACTTTATTTACCTGCAAGCTTTCAGGCACATTCACCCTTTATCAGGCTGAGGAGAGAGCAGATTGGAAAACGCTTACAAGGTAAAAAGACTTACAACCTTTCTCTGTGCCTAACCCGGACAAAATAAACTATTCCAAAACAGGAGATTTTAATCACACCTTTGGCTCTCCTGCGAGATATGAGTGTTCATTTCTACCGAGGAGAACTTTTTACAATCTCTACTCTCTCCTATGCTTCATGAGGGGTGTGCGCACCCAAAAGCTTGCAAATAAATAAAATTAACTTGTTTGCAAATATCTAGCTGGTCTAAAACTATAAATCACCTCTTCCACAAGTTTCAAGTTCTAGTAAATAACAACTTTTCACAAGGCTTTGTCTGCTGTATCAATTTTAAAAAAAGCCAAAAAACCCTTAAAATGTGTCACATTTACCTGATGGCATTTTTTTTTAAAGATAATTTAATTCTCTCATTATTTATTTGATTTCTTGTAAATCCTAAAACTCTGATTTTTTTGCCATTACTGAACATTGATTTAAAGTCCACGTGAGAACTATTACAGTCCATGCATACATATGGAGCTGTACTACTGCCACAGTACATAAGAAAAACAACCAGGAGAATACAGAGTCCACTTCTGATGCTTGGAACTAGAGAAAGATGTATACATTGGAAATCGTTCAAAACAGACCATACCCATCTGGAAACCCTGCTCCACAGTAAAACTAAAAAGAACCCTACTTTTATTAATCCAAGAGAAGGTTAAAAAAGTATGAATAAATTTGTTCAAGTATAGAAGTGAGAATCAGATCTTAAGAGAAGAAGGCCCTGTCATCTAAGGCAACATTAAAAAAAAAAAAAAAAAGATGGTGTGGAAGGAAGGAGAAAACTAGCTAAGCTTGGACTAGAAGTGACAGTGCCATTTTTTTTAATTTTTAAAACAGCCATAGGCAGATAAATAAGCCTGCCCCTCAAGTCCCCTACCCAACCCCAAGTTTATCCCCTTGAGTGTAGTAAAATAAGTTGACTTTGATTTTCCATCCAAAAACAGAGGAAATGCGAAATGTTGCAGTTCATCCAGAAGTCACAGGTGTCCACAGTGACATTTAGGCATCTCTCCCAAACTGAGACAGCTATTTTAAGACCTCAGATGTAGGAACTGTTTGAGCATGTATTACTTTGCATTTGTCTACCGTCATGCTATCTATTTGGCCAGCTTTAATAAATCCTACTGAAGTTTCTTCCCAGAGAAGACTGGGAGGCAACTACTTAGGCTTTTGAAATATCTGTATTGGTATCTTGTGAGAGAACCTCTTTTTGTGAGGAGACGCGTATGAACTGGTAGTAAACTACACTGTCCCTGCAACTGGATAAGTGTATGATTGTGCTAGACTTCCCCTGCTTTTCTACTCCTCTCCCCCATAGAATCAGTGTTGGGGACAAGAAAGAGACCACCACACCAATACTTTCGTTCTTAGTGTTAGTCAGTCATTTGTGAATGACTTCACAGACTTACAAAAACTTTAGAAAAATTAAGATTATTGAAATTAGCTTCATGTGTTGCAATAAGAGGAAGAGAATCCTATACCCTCCTCATCTGAAATAACACGATAAGAAACTATTCCCGCATTACATACCTCTGACTTAATAAATGGAGCACTCTATCTGGAGGTTTTGCACAGAAGAGCTGTGAACAGCATGAAAAAGATTTAGAATAGAAATAAAAATTTTTAGCATTGGTTAATGATGTCCATAGCCAAGATTAAATACTTACAGCTGACTGAAGACAAAAGTAACATGTAGCTTCCAAAAGAAAAAGCGCAGATTCTCCTTGTTTTGCACCTCATTTTTTTTTTCCAAGGATAGGACCTAAGAAATAAACATGGGAAAGCAAACATGCAGATTACCTTCTTATTCTGTTTTAAGAAATGGTATCCCAGAGAAAGCATCTTGTAGGCCTCTCCATATTTCTCATGCCAGTCTTGTACCGATTTAATGGCTGCTTTTTTCAGTTTGTGCGCTACTTCTTTTGGCGGGGGAAGAGGCTGCTCGTGGTCTGTTTCCACTGTGAGTTCCAAGAACTCTTGAAAGTTTGAGATAATTAATGCTCTGAACTGATGCGACCGTGTGAACAACTCATCCACAATTTGAAAAGCTGAGAAACGTATCTCAGCATGTTCTTTGTTCAGCTGTGTCATGAGTAGATGATATGCATGGTTAATATGTTCATCTGAAGACCTTTTGAAAAGTAAAAAAGCCAAACAAGAACACCCATAAGTGCAGTCAACAGAAAACCAAAGTTCTGTCCTTTCATTTATTCAATATTTAATTAAAAAAAAAAAATAAGAAAGCTTCTGTTTTAACATCAGGTTGAAATATACACTCAGGAAAAAAAAAAGTTAAACCCTGGAAGATTGCAGAGGTGGGCTTCACTAAATTTGTGGCGCATACCCACCATTTTACTAGTTTCCCCAAACCACTAGAAGCAATACTTCAAATGATCACTTCCTTAATCACCAGGTAGAAAGAGGGACAGAGACTCATAAGGCCAGATCCGTGTGTCAGTGTAACCTCTCCAATGTGGTCAGCATACAGTACTCCACTTTAGACACGTCTTTGCCAGTCTATACTGGTTTAAAGAAAGTTCAGATGGTATAAACCGCTACTCCAGTGTAAACTGTCAGAATAACACTGCACTGGATTCTAATAAGAGTCAGGGATACGAACCACACCACAAATTATACTAGCGTAGGTGCATCTGCCCATTTCTATCCCAGGATAACAACTAGCTTTGTGCAAACCCCCATTCACTATACTGTTCTTACCGTACCACCCCCATTTACTGCAAGACAACTACTCTGGAGACGCTGTTTTCCTGTCTACTCTGGATCCCAGTGAAGTTTACATCATTACACAGGACTAAGGTGTCATCTGTCCAGGTCTTAAAAGATGAGAACAGCCTGATGCGAGTACGTTCCTCCAACAGAAAGTTTAACCAGTTGTCATACTTGCAAATTTTCTTGAATTCTTTCATTTTCTCTGGATTCAACTGGGTTTCTCCTGAGGTTGTGAGCTCTTCAACCAGCTGCGAGAGCTTTTGGTCCATCTCTGGAAACATGAAAACAAAAATTTAAAAAGTTAGTGATGCATTAAAAAAAAAAACAACAGACACGATCTTAATTTAAGAGTAAGGTTGGATGTCAATGTAACAGATTTATTACACTATCTATAAAACTGCCCTGCCAGATATACCTTCTATTTTACTATAATACCTGAACC